GGACAGTTGCTGTGATAGCTTCATTAGAAAGAGAATTGTGGTATGGTGGGGGCTCATCCGCTGGGTTGAAGGAGGAGGAGTCCTGAGTTGGATTTTCTGTCCCTTTGGAAGCAGGCATAGGGGAGGTGACAGCTAAGAGGACTTGTGCAGGAGAGCAAGAGTTGCAGAGAGAGGGCTGAGAACACAGAGGAGGCCTGGATGTAGGATATCTCTTTCCATTTTCCCAAACGCTCACAATAGTTGAAAAGATCCCTGAGGATATTGGGATCTAGAATGCCGTTAAGCGGCCATTTAGGGTTCCAAGGATATTGAGGCCGGATCTGATTGCACAAATGGATAAGTTTGGGGGGTTTTAGGTCGAGAGAGAGAGAGAGAGAGAGAGAGAGAGAGAGAGAGAGAGACCCCCCTTAGGTTAGCCAGAAGGCAGCCTCAGGGACTATGGAGGGAATGGAGGAGGGGCCACCCATGGTGAGATGTAGGAGGTGAGTTTAGAGGTGGGGCGTCCCCCAGTCTCTAGTATCACCTGGTCAAGAGGATGGTTATGCTCATCGGGTTGTCACCACCACTGTGTAAGCATCAGGGCAGGGCCCACAGAGGCACTCGGGCACCCGGCCAGGACTACGTAGGACCAGAGGCCATAGACATTAACCCAAAGCCAAGAGGTCTCACCAGGCACAACTCCCAGTCACCCTCAGGGGCTTTTCTCAAAACCCAGGACCCAAATAAAAGGGCACCTCTAGGGCTGGGGTTGTGGCTCAGTGGCAGAGTGCTCGCTCGCCTCACAAATGTGAGGCACTGGGTTTGATCCTCAGCACCACATAAAAGTAAATCAACAAAATAAAGATATCGTGTCCATTAAACAACAACAAAAACCAACCAAACAAAGAAAAGGGCACCTATAGACCCAGTTAGCCATAGGGATCAGCCATAGCTGTGACGGCTGAGGCTGGGGGTGCCCCCGACTGCGTGGTAACCCTGGGAGTGCTGGACAATCGCTGGTCACTTCCCAGGACCAGTAGGTTGTTTAAGTCAACCAGAGACGGGGACATTACCCAAGATGTCTGATGGTGGGTGCAGAGAGGGCGTTCTGCAGTTACAGAGGGCCTGGGCCCATGATGGAATTCAGATCGGTGTCTGGGAATGCTCAGTGACCCTCGAAGAGGGGCGTGGGCACACTGGGAACCCGATCCCAGGTTTCGGGTACCAATGAAAGAAAGTGAAGAACCAAGAGAAGGGCGAGCGAGAAATGAAAGACGGACACCAGGCCGAGATCCACATGAGAGTTTATCTGTCAGAGCCGACAAATGAAGGCCATCTCCATAGATGGAAAGAGGCAATACAGGCTTGAGTTCTGGGACTTTTAGGGGGCAGGCTCAGGGATTAGAGCCCACGGGCCCTAATGGGGGCAGCTGAATGTGGGGTTGGTGGGAGGGAGTGGTGAGCCTTTCTCAAAAA